GTGTCCACCACCTCTGTCCCCTCTGATTATGTCCATTTTTCAAAACTACTTTCTAGCAAGGACTACCAGTGCAGTTAGTGAATTTTAAACATCTCAGGCTCTACAGCCGTGATGGCAAACCTTTTAGCAACGAATGCCCAAACTGCAACCCCAAACCCACTTATTCATCGCAAAGTGCCAACACTGCAATTAAACCTGAATACTGAAGTTTTACCTCATGAGTTAACTCATGCTTCATGCATTAAGAACTCACACATGAACATCTCTTGTCTTAAAAGAAAAACAAATAACACGTGTCACCACCACTGCTTTAGAGGCCTTAGGGCAGGGACCAGCGGACATTGGGCTGGATGTCATCCCTGGAAAGGAAGCCTGGAAACAGAGGCACCGGCACCATTCCAGAAATCCTACAAGGCGAGGTGAGTATGGAAAGATTTCACCTAAGTTGTGTTCTACCTTTCCAGTGATCAGAAGAAAAGCATTCTCAATTTTTCTCCATAAAAATGACATCTCCAAGCCTTGTAAAGGGCTTAGTGCTAGCAGAGGTGAAGATAAAATGGTAACAGCAAACAAGGTGCCTGTCCCAGGTTTCTATCAGGTTTCTATCAGTGAAATACTCAAGAACTTTTGGACTCTGCTGGCCAAGTGAGCGCCCCGTACTGTGGAGCAGGTATATTCACAGCTGTAGCCTGTGTGGACAGGAAGGGTCTCACCTCTTCCATCACACTCCATTGACCACTCACACCAAGGCACCCACGAAATGATCAAGGCTGTGCAGATATTTCTACTGAGGCATATTAGAATACACAGAATGATAACCTCATGAAGTTTTTTTCTTAAAGCAGCTATACCTTAAAGAAATTAGGTCAGGCCTAATGAGAAGCACTGACAGTAGGCTTTACCTACTCCCACTAGTCTGTTCACAGTGCTTGCTTGTTTTTTCCGGAAATCTGTCATCCTAAATGTATTTTCTTCAAAAAGATGAATAAGGAATTGGGAGATAGGGATAAGGAAATGGAAAATAGCATATTTTCTCTTGTGTTTTCCCTAAGGTAAAGCCATCATAACACGGATTTAAAAGGAAACATTAATACCAAGGTAGTTCTTTATACAATCTTTCAGAGTGCCCGCCCCCCAACACACTTTGAAACAGTAATCATTTCCTTAGCATCTCTAAGCCAAGCATCCTCGTTTCTCCAGGGAGGAGAAAGGTTGAAATAGGCACAGGACCACTGGGGACCACAGCAGAGCAGGGCAGGGCGGTCTGGGATCCCCTTTGCCTCCTCCATCCTCCAATTCCTCCACTCACAACTTCTTGGGGTTTTTTCCCCCTCCTTCTTGCCTTCCCTGTAATTCTCCTGGGCTGGGAATACCCAATGCCATCTGCCCTATTTCTGGGAAGGTGAAAGATAAAACACTGAACTGCAAAAGCTGCTTGATTTTTCTCTACCCTTTCAGAATATTTCAAGTCAGTATGTGAGCCTTAAAAGAGGAAATCTTTGAAAATTGCCTCAATTGTTTGCCATGATCACAAATAAGTTTCCAATTTACAGACTTAGTCTTTTCCATTTTCAAGAATGAAGAACTATGGGACAAAAGAAAAAAAATGTTTAAAAATTTAGGTTACAATGAATTTCATTACTGCTTGCTAATTGGGAGTTATACCATTAGTTTAGTAAAGAAAGGGAGATTATCATAGATTATGGAGACTTCAAAGCTGGCAGCACAGGAAACCCAAGATGCTTGGTTGATTAACTTGCCCCTCATCTGCACTCTCCAGTCTTCTATTTAAGAGGATGTAGCTCAGTGGTAGGCCACTCCTAGGTTAGATCCCCAGTTCCACTACCACCACCAAAAAAAAAGTATGGTGCAAGATCAAAACACTTAGAAAAATCATTAGTAGTATGCTTTTAAGCATCCCTAAAATTATTTTTGCTTTTAAACTTAGCTTGACTTGGTGACAGTATATGGTATGAACTGCTGAATTGTTTGTTGCATTCTTTTTTTCCACTGCCACCAGCCCCACTTTTTCCCCGTTTCATTCTTGATTCAGTTACCAACATAAATAAATGCTTTATCTCAAAGCACTAACATTCTCCTTCCTATTCCATTCAATTCAGTAAACTTTTTCCACTTCCATGTTACATAAATTAGTAATTATGTCAACTTATCCTCCTTCACTGGGTCCTGCATCCACATTGTCACCACCAAGTGACTTCTGTAAGAAAGAGATGGGAAAATTCATCTTCTGGTTGGCTGTATTTCCCAGCTTCTGGTGAGTATAGGAATGTAGGAAGTAAGAATCCTGAACAGGCTAATCCCAGCTTCCAGGACCATTGATTTCTTCCTATGTACCCTTTCCTCCTCACTGCCACCAAGGCCATGTGCTGGGGCTACCATATGGCTCCTCTGGGCCCCATATGGCTCCATCTCACTAAAAGGAGCACTCAAGAACATAAAAATGCTGCTGTATACTTTTATTGCAACCCCTTCTCATTTTCCTCCATCTGTCTTCCATATGGTTTATGCGACTCTATTAGGCTCTCGCACACACAGCCCTCTGATAATGAGGGTTGCCAACTCGACCAAGATAAAGAACTAAAATTCACCTCTGTCAGTGACAAGGGGCCTCAACTGCTTTAAATATCCAATTCATTTAGTATTCAAACTAGAACATGCTAATAGCTGCTTTTCTTCAGTTTGCATACAAAATTTATTTTATGTTTCAAAAAAATGTTGTCAACAAAAAACACATGACAGCTTTTCTGTTGTATTTTCTTCAAGGGCTAGGCTTGAAGTTCAGAAGAGGTACAAAGGATAGGGATCCTTTGCTGCTTAGGGATCCTGACTATGCACATTAATTACTCTAACTTTTTCATTTTCATGTAATTCTGCCACTGTTTGCTTTCTAAAATGTCTCTACAAAACTTTGAAGTTTCACATTTGTCTTCCCTCCAGACACTAAGGGAATGAACAGGAATCTAAGGGAATGAACAGGAATCAGGTGACACTGACCCCATTGGCTTTCCCAGGCCCTACTTAGGTTGGGGCAACGAGGGTCAAACCACTGAGTCCTGATCCTCACTGCTTTGCATGCACAGGGCTGAAGTGACATACATGACCCCAGGGTTGGCATAACTTAGAAGCAGGAATGAAGTCACTAGACAGCCTGCACATCCCAACAGGAGGCAGCTCTTGGCATTAGCAGCAGATACCAGGGAGATCCTCATTCCAGGTGTTAAGCAGTGAGTCTGCTGGTGAGCACTTGAGCTGTTTTCTCAGAAGTAAATAGAACAGGTTAGGGGTGAAGCAGTGATATAGCCCTTCACTAGCTTGCATGAGGCCCTGGTTTTCATCCTTAGTACCACAAAAACAAAAGAAAACAAAACAAAACCTCAAAATAAGGGAAGGGGGAAGGGACACAAACTGGTGACAATTTTTTTAAAAAGGAAAAAATAAATTATTATTAAATACTTTTTATACTTATGATATTAAGGAGCAGAGAGGATTCAGGTCTTCCAAACCTCTACCACATTTAAAGTGTCCTGCTGAGAGACAACTTGCCTATATTCTAGTCCAAATCCGCCTGGCAGTCTGTACAGGGGAAATGATGCCCGGCTCCATGATGATCATGTCTGATGAGGCAGAACACGGGAACTGTGCTCAAATGTGCAAAATATTAATCTACAGACACACAAAAACAACCCAGCAGGAACTCTTTAAGCTTATTTTTTGTGTATAAATATCTACTGATTTCCCCAATTATAATCACAATAAAGTATTTACTTGAATTTTAAAATCAAACAATAATGTTAATATAGGATACATGATTGAATCCACTTAGCACTTTTGTTTTTAACCCTTTCACATAATTCATACGTCATTGTTTTTCTTATTACCCTATATAATTTAATATAGATCGAAGCATCAGTCATGTTCAGACAAAAACTACTGGGAGGCAAGGAAACTTGCTGCCACCTAAGCTGCTATTTCACAATCCCTCCCACATGGCAAAAGCCAAAGCAGTTACTCTGTACTAGTACAAGCTACAGCTGCCTTTTCTTGATGCAATCAATTTTGAGCTCAACACTGGGAAATGTGGGTATCACAGGTGCCAAGGTAGAAGCAAAAAGTGCATTTTAGTCAGGGGATCAAGTTGCAAAAATACAGACTACCATAAGAGGCCTAGTCATTGGAACAATTGCTCCAGGCTGGAACAAATTACAAATTCTGGTTAAGAGAGGCAAATACTTTCCCTTCTATGATAAAGGAAATTATGGCTAAGTCATTTTGTAAATGGAATTGTGCTTGCAAAAGTACATGGATGAAAAAGCTAAATGGGTATTTTAGTAAATGGGTTGAATCAAAGCACATGGGTTGAATCAAAAGGACAAGAAGAATGATCAATAAGGCTTCAGTGAATTACAGTTTTCTGGTCTAGAAAGCTATGAGTATCATATTCTGCACTCCAGGGCTTGCTCTGAACAAGCAGTTTGTAAACCACTTGGAAAAAGGCAGAACTCGCTGCTAAGAGTGAGCCCCTGAGTAGCTGCAGTAATTGGCGTAGCTGCTGAGTAGTTGCAGTAATTGTTGACTTTTCCCGCGGGGATGCTGCTCTCCCCAGCTCAGCACGTCCCACAAACCAGGTGAATGCCAGCTTAGCTGCCTCCCCTTGTATTTCTTTCCACTGCACAGGGGCTGCTGGATGTTGGTCTCTTGCCAATTGCCTTTGGGTGAGATTTGGTAAAAATGACCAAAGAAACAAGAACATCTGCCTTCCTATCATTTTCTTTGCACAGCTACTTCCCAAGCAGCTGCTTAGGAGCTGCATGTGTCCATTTACCAGATTTAAAGAGAACAGCACAAGGCACAGGGGGAGGCGCACAGAGCATATGCTCTTTCACCCCAGCCCGTTTGGGAACAGCGGGAGCCTCGCCCGAAGGTGCTGACAAGGGCATCAGCAGCTGTGATTCTGGAAGCAGGAGGCACCCGCGCCGTACCTGTTTCTTTGTCCTGGACTTCCTCCAGGTGCAAGTCATTCAAAAGGTGCTCCAGGATCTTCTCCGGGGTCCCGGATACCACCACGTATCTGTCAGAGAGCAGAGAGTCCACTGAGTCATCCTCGGTGGAAGACTGCGAGCGGCTGCTCCATTCATCGTCCTCATCCTCCTCGTCGATGTATTTGAAATAAGGCACATCGAAGGTGGGCAGGGGCAGCTCTCGGTCCGAGAGCACCGCGGAATCTTTCCTCTCTAGATGAGGGTCAAAGACCCTCAGCCGGGAGCTGCCCATTGTGAACGGTTACTAACAAAGGCATCCCCTAAATGCTAGAACATCTCGCCATCCCCGTGCTTTCACTGGGAACCGAGTCCATCTGGCTGCTCGGAGCTCTGCAGTCAGTTAGAAAGCTGGAGAGGCGGAGAGAAAAGAGAGGGAGGGAGGGTAGAGGAGGCAGAGGGAGCAGTGAGATGGAGCAGAAGGGAAGGCGGCAGAGGAAGGAGAGGCGCTTCCTAGGTGGCTGCAGGGGAAACTCTCACCTCCAATCGCTCTCCGCGCCCCCAGCTGCGGGGGCTGGGCCACAGCCCTGCGCTTTCCTCAGCACCAGGATGGTCTGGTCCTGCTCTTTAACCTGAAGAGTCGTCACTTCATCATCTTGCTTTAGTTGGCCATGTGGGTGATGGATGGGAAAGGGAAAAGGAGAGAAAATTAAAAAAAGAGCCAACTCAAGCTGCATTTTGTAGGGTTGCTTTATGGCATCATTTTTTTTTAAAAAAGGTTCAGCATAAATTAGGAGCATGGCCAAGAATCTCTCTAATCGTATAGTACATAAAGCATTAGAGAGCCATAAATACTTTAAAAGAAATAGAAGGATAAAAAGGTGAAGAAGAGTTGACCTTCAAAGAGTTTATTTTTAAAACTACCTGAACTATTTGAATTAGAGAATATAAAGTTCAAAGTTTCAAAAAACACAGCATACTAACTGCATGTGTACCATCTACAGTCTCTTACCTGGGTAATGTTTATTAAACACTACTAAAACTGGAAAATCATATGAAACATACATTATTTAAACATTAAAGTAAATAAGCACTGTTTTACGTTTAAAGGTGGGCAAAAAACTACTCATTCAATCACTCAGGTCGGTTTTTTCCAGATTTAAGATGGTCTTCAAATTTTTCATGTACTTGTTTTTCCAGTACACAAGCAAAAATGGATCTCTAGTTAGAATCTCATCTAGGCTGAAATTCGGATGTCATGGAAGACTGCACTGGCTTTCTTCACCTCGGTCTCTTTTTAAAAAGGAGAAGGCTGAACCATCATTCATTTCTGCACACACAGCTTCCACAGCCCAGAGCCAGGGTGGCCGCTGACATGGCTCAGTCACAGAGGGTGCTCCCTGCTGACCCAGCAGTGTGAACCCCACTCAGTGATGAACACTTTCAGAGCATTTAGTGTGAAAGTCTCCCAATGTGCAACGACTGGGAACCACAAGGCAGGCCAGAAAAAAGAACTGCAGGATGCATGTAAGAAAATCTAACTTTTGTATTTCCAACAACTTGAGCAAAAAGGTTAAAACAAGAAAAGCTGAACAAAGTAGGCTTTGCCTTAAAAATAATGTCGCCTCTTTTCAAAGAGCACCGTGTCTAGGGTTCTCAGCATGTTTCTCTTTCTACTACTGACAGAAAAGTCTACACATAATTAGGTACAAATATAAAGAGGAAAGATACCCCTGCCCTTGTGGATAAAATGTACCACATCCATCGTGCTATATTAATTGCTTCTACAGACCAACCAGGGATGTCAATGTATTGTGTTTACTCTTCGTAAGAATAGAAAGGCACTGCTCTTGCCCTAATTGCCAGCCAAATCAGTGACAAGATTGTGATTTCAACTCCTGGTGTCCTGAATTCCAAGAAAATACAGTGACCCACTCATTTTAGTCCTTTCAGATTTCCTTAAAAACAAACAATATTGGTCATTCTAAATGCAATTTAATTTTATGATCATTCTCTTTTAATCTTTTAGTGGCAAATAATTTTACTATGTAAAACTGATGTATTACATTTCACCAAGGTCAGATGCACAGTTTCTGTGGCAATTAATGTCGGGTATTCATTGTTCAACTCCCTGAGGATGGCAGCGTGCCTCCCATAACATGAATACCAATGTGTAATTGCTATCTTTCATTTCTCCAGAGCAGTTCTTTTGTTATCCATGTAATGGAAGTGAAATAAAAAGGAAGAGGGTCTTATACTGACCAAAAATAAAATTAAAAAAAAGGAATAACGGTCTGGAATATAGAGACACACAGGAAACAGCCAAATAACTGTTATTTGAAAGGACAAAAATCTTTCCCTGGTTTCCTCTAATCATAAGCCAATATTCATTTTACACGAGCCTGCTGTCATTTTGAAGTACATTTTACATTCAATGCACACATGATATATGGCATTATTAACTTCTGTGGGCCACGCACATACATATGGATGGGAAGGGCTTCTCTAATGTCTGTGTAACTGCTATGTATTACATGGCTTTGCACACAGCAGCTATACTCTATGGGCAGGGAAAGAGCCGGATCGGATTGATGTACTATCAATAGCATCTTATGTCATTGTAATAGGTTCCATTTTGAAAACCTGTATCAAATAAAGTAGAGAAAAAGCAGAAAAATCAGAAAAATCAATGAATGAAGGGAGATGTACCTTATGGAAAACTGCCACAAAAACATAATAACCCTACATATTATATCTGGCTTGGAAGAAGGAAAGTTAAATTAATATTTTCTGATCCATGCACCCTTAACTAATTTCTTTTCCTGAAAAAGAGAAGTACCTAGTTGAAGTTCTGCATATGGTGTTTTATTCGTGGTTAAGGACGAAAGTATTAAGCCAAGGGCAGGGGCGTACAACTGTAATCCTAGCACTCAAGGAGGCTGACGTAGGAAGCTCACAAGTTTGAGTTCCATCTGGGCTCCTTAACAAGACCCTGTCTCAAAACAGAGAAAAATAAAAATAAAAAGGACTAGCGATGTAGCTCAGTGGCACTATGTCTCTGGGTTCTACCTCAGTACCACTACCACCACCGCCGCCCCCCCCGCCAAGAAAAAGGATTAAGAGGACTAATGCTGGAAAATACATGCAATTACAATTCATGAAATACAAGGAAAGCATGAAGCACTTAACTGACATTCACTCAGCCAATAGTGAGGGCCTCCTTTGGGTCAGATACACAGCTGAGCAGATAAGCAAGGACAAGTAAGACAAGTACCCCGCTCTGTTAATTAAGTTTGTAGGCTCCACAAAAACCCAAGTATAGTTCGGTGAGAACCATGAAAGGTTGCCACATTCAAGAGACAAGGCAAAAGTAGAACCCATAGGATTTGGCTGTCAAAGATGACTCTAGTGACTGAGAGACGGCGAATACCATAAACTGGAAACGCATGTACAGAGGAACGGCTATGGTGAGACTGAAGAATCTTTTCTCAGAAGTTGATGCTTTAGTACTGGCACAATGTTCTGCTGTGTTCGGCAGGCAGTTAGAAATAAAACACATACCAGAGCCTCAGTCAAAGATAGAGACAAATGTGCACATTTTTCAAGTTTGGGCAATTGATGGGCCAGATAAAGAGGAGCAGGAAAGAGAAGGAAGTACAAATATTAGGGATCTAAGTGAAGAAACTAAAGGGAAAGGTAAAGAGAAGGAGTATCAGGGTCAGGGGGAAACCATTTATTGAGACTCTGAAGGGCAGGAGAACCAGGAGAGCACTATGTTAAGGGCTCTAAGGAAAAGGCTCGCCTGAACCTGTAGAGTTAGTAAGTGTAAGGTCAATAGATGGGAAGAGAAGTGCTAACGTGCAAGCGAACCAGGAAGACAGAAACAGACAGGAAGGGCCCTTGGGGGATTCCATTAAGCAGGAAAGGGTCAGCTTGAAGAAGCTGTCTCTGGGGAAGGCAGGCAGGTAGAGGGAGAAGTGCTGAGGCAAGAAGACACATGTTAATGGCTTTATGACGTTCTGCTTTAAGTGTTCAGGAGCCTTAGAGGAAAACAGTGAATGATGAGGCCCACCAAGGATAAAGGACTGGCCAAGGACACAACAGGGAGGCAATGGAGAGGAGGGAGGCCAGGGCCATTCAGGAGGACAGCTGGGGACTACAGGGCATCTGGCTGGGGAAGGGGATGAAGAACTGCGGAAACTGGAAGGAATAAGGACTTTTCCCCGCATGGAGTAAGGGCACAGGATCTGTTCAAGGAGGTAGGTATCTGAGGCAGATCAGTTCCACTGGTGAAGACTAAGAACAACAGGACAACAGTGGCTCCTGTGTGATACTTGTGATTTGGATTTTGTCCATGGTTCCTGACTTACAGCTCCTACTATTCTTATAATTTCAAAGTGACCAGCACACCAAGAGTATCTTTTGTTAAAGTACAGTATTTGGTCTTTTGTTGTGGGTTCCCGAAGCAATCCTGGAATAGCTCCAGAGCTATAAAGGTGAAAGATAATCTTTTGTTATTTATAACAAGTCCCTTTCCACTAAACCAGCATTTATACTAATGAGGTGACTTTGGGAAAGTCCCTAAATAATCACAGCATGGGGGGGCTGGTTGCCACGGGAACACACCCCAGCCCCCACCTCCAGGGAGAGGAAAGGGGCTGAAGGTTGAGTAGGTCGCTTATGGCCTAATCAATCATTGCCTACAGGATGAAGCCTCCATAAAAACTCGGACCCAGAAGGACAGGGTTCAGAGGCTTTCAGGAAGGTGAATGAGAATTTATCCACGTGTCAGGAAGGTAGAATAACCCAACTCCACAGGAAAGGAAGCTTTTGTACTTGAGGCTCTTCCAGATCCAGTGTATCTCTTCATCTGGCTGTTCATTTATATCCTTTAAATGATCCTGGTAAATATGTTTCCTTGAGTTTCCTTGTCCCCTGCAGAAATCAAATTGAATCCAAGGAGGGGGTTAAGACACCATGATTACGGTCAATAGGTCAAGAAAACCAGAAGCTTGTGATTAGCATCAGAAGTTGGGGGCAGTCTTGGAGCCCTCAGTTTGGGGCCTGATGCTACTGTATCTCCAGGTAAAAAGTATCAGAGTTGAGTTGAACTGCATGACACCTGAGCTAGTGTCGCCTGAAGAAATGATTGATTGCTTGTTTGGTATGCGGGGAAAACTCCTATGCATGTGGTTACAAATGTGTTCTTTCTTGTGCTTGCTTGGGCAGCACATATACAAATGTCTTCTTTCTTGGTTTCAGAGTGGCTTTTTTCCCTATATTTTCAGACCTTGACAACTGGGAGCCAGCCTGGCTCTTCCAGCCAAATGATCTCACAGAAAATTAACACTAATCAAGGTCATGATACAGACAAAAACAGCCACTCAGCCATGGTATCTGAAAACAAAATGTGAACACTGTCCAAACCACAAAAAACCCAAAAGCCCAAATCAAATGAGTAACTACTGTTCCTTTTTTTTGGCCAATGACAGCTATAGCTTTGCCATAGTCTGTCTTCTCTACAGGGGGATAAAACTTAGCAAGCTATTCCATCATATAGTTACCCACATCATTCCTGACAGCATTGAATCCAGAACAAAGCCTGCTCCCTGCAGCCTTTCTCAAAGTGACCCAGTGCAAATGCAAGTCACATAAGACC